CAACCTACTGCAGGCATGGAATCCATCATTACAGATACAGCAAGCTGACAGCCCAGACAAGATTTCCTAAGCAACCGTCCAGAATCCACCAGAATGACTAATAGGCTCACTTAATTGTTAGGGGGTTTGGCAGTAAAGAACGTCTTAAATATTTGGCTTTTATCAGCCAACCCTTTAAACTGCTTTAACACTGAGTTCGGTGAAACCCTTTTGTTTCTGAGAAATTTGAAAGCCTCTTCTGCCAGGTTTACATGCTCTCTGTGATCTCTATTCCCGTTTTTTTAAGTAAAAAAAATAGGATCAAATGACAAACATACGAGTGTCTTCTATTAGGATTTTGATAGTTGACTCGTGGCATGAAAGCCGATGGAAGACACCGAGTATTTGACAGACGATCTCATCATCTTCCTGGTGAGCTATGAGATTAAAATGAGGAGGAAAGAACAAGCTTGGTTACAAGGCCGGACAAGTTGGCAGGGATTCTTGGGCAAACAGTTATCAGCTAAAACGGCAAAACAAGCAGGAGGGGTCAGCAACAACATAATTTGGGAAAGATAAATGAAGTACGCTATTATGACAGCGCCTAGTTTTTACGCATGAAAGGAAACAAGCTCACTTCTCCTTGACTTCAAACTTTCTTGTGTGGTTATGCACTGATTTTTCATGCCTAAGAAGTGTATATCCCATCCAACATGTATTAGCCTCTGTCCTTCCGCTCACATGCTGTAATAGTAAAGTAATAGTAGACTAATGTGGGCTTAACTATTCGCTCAGCTGGGTCATGCCCGCAGTCAAGCCGCCCACGCCGCGCGTCGGGCAAACTAGACATACGCCCAAACAGCGTGGGCAGTGGCCACAGTCGAGAGGGTTCCAGAATGCCCAGGCACACACTATACGCCAGGAATGTTCTAGAAAGACGAGAACCTTATAAATACGCCGGAGTAGACAAGCTAACAAAAAACCTGCAGTCTTTGTGTGGTTTTAAATAAAGGTCACTGCCACCAGAACCGTTCTGTTGTCTTCTTCTGCTTACTACTCGGGTTAGAACAACTGGGCTATAACAGTAACTAACTGCAAACCCGATATAGCCGTCCATCTGCAGTACTTAGCCTGTCAGCCTCAAAAGGCCAACATGTTTCTGGCCGAACTGTACAGGCCTACTTCCAGTCCATAGGATAACGCTTTTAGAGTGAAACTCCAATGAAGACATGGCACGCACACAAGATAACAAAAAAGCAGCCTTGATTTGAGAGTCCGCAATACTGCTGAACTTGCACGATAGCCAACTTAATCACGGTGATTTTGCAGATTGGGAGAGAGAGCGAGAAAGAGAACAATAAGCACAAGATTGTATAAGTCATCCTGAGAAAATGCATGGCTGTACCATTGTCAACAACCGCACTACTCTGGCTAAGGCCAATAAGTTAAAAGACTTGTGCTCCCAAATATCATCGGTTTTTTCACATAAGTAAACATGCATGCAAGAAAAAAAAACATGTCACAACTTACAGTTTAAAAGGCTGATTAGATCGGTAACTATCCCACAGTTTGCAATCATGAGAGCAGCTTTCTCATCCAGACAGGTAGTTCCAATAAGTCGTATTATTTCCAACAACAAGTCGTCTTCAAAGTGCTTCAAGCCTAGACTCAGCTTTGACTGCAACCAGTTTAGTAGGTTGAGGTCGCTTAGCACACGGGCAAAGTCCAGATCCTCTAGAGTGAGATTGGCTAAAAGACCCAGGCATTCAAGGGCGAAGTCCTCTTTCTTGCCGCCTCCAGTCCTTTCATCGGTCTCGTCTCCGAAGTCCTCATCCAGGAAGCTTTCATGTTCAAAGTCGTCCAGTGGATTGGGCTTCATGCGTTCTTTACGGTTACGGCGCTCTGCAAGGAGTTCGGCGTTAATTTTTTGGGCAGCAGAAGATTCTTCGAGGGAGGTAACCGCCTGAACTAAATCTGGCAAGTAATCCTGTGAAAGAAAAGGCCACATGCTAGCACGAGATAAAGTGAAGCAACGAGCAGAAACTGTGGTAACCTTAGAGTACTAATAATGCCGAAAGGACGGATAAATACGCAAATCGAACAGCCCTTGTAGGGTGTATTGTCTAGCCTATTGATGCGCGGCGTAATTTGATTAAGGCACGTCTATTATTTACGCTTCTAACACCAAAACGATTACGTCGTTCACAGAGCATCAGCATTTTCCGATCTACCTTCATCATTATCTTTTTCCTCATATTTATATTTTGAAGTGATTAGATGACAATAGTTGTTCCTCCACTTTACTGCGTGAAAACACAGTGTTTGAGAATTTACCCATTCCAACCTCCTATCCTGCTAATAAAGGGCCCTCGTATTACTCTCCTCTCAATGGAATAAACTACAATCAATTGACGGTAAGTGGTTTTTAATGGGTCTGTTATTTCCAAGTGAACAAGTTAGAAATTCTCCATGC